TAAATGTTTCTGGGCAGGCCAGATAGCTTAGCAGATAAAGTGCCTGCTTAGGCAGACTCAGGGACCAGGCCATGCTGGCCACACCCCAGACTGGGTGTGGTAGGGGCAGCATGCACCTGTAATCCCAGGGCTTGGGTGGCTGAAAACAGGAGGAACACTACCAGTCTGATCTGTGTAGTGAGACCCTGTAGACCCTGTACTAAAAACATTAAAGAGAAATGTTTCTAAGGAAATATGCTGGTGTCAGTAGCTAGCATTTATGGAGTATTTGCTAGTTGCCAAGCAGTCTGCTGAGTACTTTTCAAGCTTGTCTAGTTCTGACAGCCTTATAGTAGACATATTGTTATAATTCATCTCGTACAGATGAAACTATTTCAGGTAATTTACCACTGCTACGAGATAGAGTTCAACCTCAGAACCTGTTTGCTAAATCACTATCCTGCCTCCTAATAATTAAGGATCTAAGCTGTTGGTCCAATAAAAGTAAAGAAAGAGGAAGAGATATTCTTTTATTTTCTAGATAGTGTAGTATAGTATGATACCTACAATTGCAGAAGAATTTTGTTTTAGGTGTCGTGAGAAAAGCTAGCTGGAAGACAAAGCTTGATTGAGATTTTGGAGCAGTGTAGCAGCAAATATTACAGAAGAGTTGAGCCAGAGACCTGATGAAGCCATTCCTGAAGTTTGACCTGCTTCTGGACATGTGAACCAATATATCTTTATAATTTATCTGTGGGTTTTGTAACTTGCATCTGTTATGGTTTAGGTCTAAAATATCCCACAAAATTCTTATAGGTGTGGAAGGTGACTAGATCAAGGGCCACTGTACCCATGGTGGATTCATCCATTGTTGAGTGCAGTAGCTCAGTGTGTTGTTAGGAGGTTGGACCAGGTTGGAGGTGGGTCACTAGGTGTGTGACCTGGAAGGGCACATTCTTGTCCCCATTCCTCTCCTCTCTGCTTCCCGGCTACCATGGATTGAGCACCTTCTCCTCCCCCAGGGCCTGCTGTCATTCTGTCTCAACCTGTCACCCTCTAAGTTGTGGGTGTTCTGCTTTGTGTTTCAGGGATGGAAAATTGACCAAGACCCTAAAACAGATGAGTAGGGTTCAACGAGTACAAGTACAGTTATCAGTGCCTTACATTTTTATGGGAGGACTCATTGTGGGTAGAACAGCAAACATGAAAAGAAGAATGTAAGAGGTAGGGGTTCCTGGAGAGTAAGGGGTGAATTAGGAAAGTAGGTATAAATGTAAAGGGCAGGCTAATCTCGGAACTGATTTCTATATTTAATAAAGGAGAATCATCAAAAGGTTTTGAACAGAGATTACTTTAAAATAATAAAGTATCAAGTTTGGAAGAAGATTTAAGTCTGGTTCAACTGCTGTTTTGGGTTTTTTGAGACAAGGTCTAACACTATAGTTCAGGCTGGCCCCAAACTCGCTATGTAGCCCAAGCTGGTCTTCAACTCTCAACAGTCCTTCTGCCTCAACTCCCAAGTGCTGATATTATAAGTGTGTTCCACCACACCTGATGTTCAACTGGATTTTTAATCCTCTTAACAGTTCTATAAGCCAAGTGTCATGGCATGCACCTGTAATCCCAGCACTCAGGCGGCTGAGGCAGAAGGATCATAGTGACTTTAAGATCAAGCTGGGCTACAAAAGGAGCTCAAAACCAGGCTAAGCAGCATAGTGAGACTCTGTCTCAAAAAGAAAGAAAAGAAGACAATTGTACAAAGTCAGTTTTGGTTTTGTCCCCATTCATGGTGAAAAAAATGTGACATGGCCAATGTATCGCGGATTGTAGGTGAAAGAACTAGGATTGAACCCAGAGCTATGTGAGCCCCAAAGCAAACATTCAACGACTTCCTCTCACTCTCGCTGTAATTAATTCTGCCATCAGAACTCACCCTCAATGGAGGAATCCCTCTTCAGAGATTGGCAATGATATTTGTAGAACTGCCTGTGCTAGAATTAAAAAAAAATGGGTTCATAGAACAAGAAAGTAGAGGGATCTAAGAGCTGTCTGGTTTTTTTGTTTTTTGTTTTTTGTTTTTTTTTTAAGGCAAAGCATGAAGGCTATTCCAGGAAAGCCAGGTCTTATTGTATTAGAACTGGCTTCCAGGTGCTGTGAGAACAAAGAGGCAGACTGATCCATGATTGCACAGAATGAAATTTACTGTGGAACTTACAGACAAAAGCAAAGTTAAAGGTGGAGAACCAGTGGATCCCCATGATTTGAGTCAGACAAAGGGGGCTCATAGAGTAGTCAGGACAAAAGTGATATTTTTCATCCACACCAGAATGTATCTTTTTTATCTCAGGCTATTATCAAGGCAGTTGGGGATATTCCTGGCATGGCACCGTGACACTGTGGCACCATGGTCAGGGAGTAAAGCCCCGTATACCACACAAATGTTTTTTTTTGTGTGTGTGTTTGTTTTTTGGTTTTTTTGCAGTACCGGGGATTGAACTCAGGACCTTGTGCTTTCCAGGTAAGCACTTATTCTACTGAGCTATCTCCCCGGCCCTACCACACAAATGTTTTCACTTATTTATAGTATGCTAGGAAACTGCAGCGAAACAGACAAGGGTTATTCAGGACAGTCATGGCAGTTACCACTGAAGATGGTTATAGGAAGAGCTGGGGGTAGAGTCCATGCATAGTAAGTACGAGGCCTTGGGGCTCAATCTCCAGCAAACACACACACACACACACACACACACACACGCTGCAGTCATGTTTAGCTGCATCCCTACAATGGCCGATGAAAAAAAAGAGAAGGCAAGTGAGTGAAAAGGGAGCAGATGAAGCAGGGGGAGTTGATAGGTGGAGGAATGTTAAAAGGAAGAAGACATGGGCTTATCAATAGACCAGGGCTTGCTAAATTAGGGACCCATGGGGTGGGCAGCTCCCCTGAATGAGAAAGTGCATCAGATGTGAAGATCATAGAGAGGAGTATGACAAGCTGGAGGACTGTGACTTTTCCAGAAGAGGGAGCTGGTATTCAGGTGGGAGTAGAGTCCCCAGTGTTACCAGTGTCAGATTTGAAATAGCAAACAAAAAATCTCTGAATCCAATTTTTATAGGAAATCATTTGGTTTTTAAAAGCTGGCAGTTAATTTAAATTTTAGGGGGGAAAAAGCACTGCACAAGCAGAAAGACATGCATCTTAAGGCTGGGTTTGGCCTGTAGACTGCCAGTTCACTCCTTCCTATCAACTTAGGTTCAAACCCCACTTCACTACTTACCAGCTATGTGATTGTGAGCAAAATTACTCCATCCCTCCACTCCCAGGCCCTTATCTGCTAAATGGGAATAATTAATTCCCTACCTCATTGCATTGTGGTAAGAACTTTTTTAAGATAAAAAGATAAATGGGTATGAAGCATTTAGCATAGTGCTTGACATACAGCAAACAGTCAAAAACACTTTCATTATCATTTTGAAAGCCATTATTCTTCCTCCAGTAACGAATAAAATCATGAACTGTCAGAATCCTAAGGCACCTTGCCCAGGGTTTTTGAAACTTGTTAAGCTTTAGAATCTTCATAAGCAAAACCTACAGAAAGGTGATGGATGTAGCATGAGGGAGAGGAGGCGACTCTGCTTGAGGTGAGAAATGGGACCCCAGAATCCTTCCTACTAAGCGTCCACACCCTGCCACAAGCCATGCTCCTTGAGCAGTGAGCCCTCTACAAAATCTCAGGGTATCATACAATATGGCTTAAGATCACATTCTTTTCCACACAGGAAAACTGAGGTTTGTAAAGATACAGAGATTTGCCTAAGTCCTGCAGGAAGTCAGTGGCAGACTTCCTGCATAATGTCCTTTCCAGGGAGGATGGTGCTCTTCCTTCTCTTTGCTCTTCCCTGCCTGGGATGAGGAGTAGCCTTCCTAAGTGATGGGGCCCAGCAGATGGCACGGTAGAATAAGCACTTGCCTGGCAAGCGCAAGGGCATGAGTTCAATCCCTGGTTCTGCAAAAAAAGAAAAGGAAAAAAAAAAAAATCAAATGACTGCCTTCCTAAGTGTTGGCTCAAAGCCACAGGGAACAGCCAGGGTTCTCTGTTGCATATTTTTAAAAAAAGAGGGAAAGAGGGCAGCAGGGGAGGAGGGGGGGGGGAAGAAAAGAGGAAGAGCTTAAGCAAAATACCACTTCTTTTGTTGTTGTTCTTTGTTTTTGTTTTTTTCCTTTTGGTATTAGAGGTTGAACTTCTAAGGCCTTTGCACTGAGCTACATCCCAGAACTTTGTTGTTGTTGTTGTTGTTGTTATTTCTTCTTCTTCTTCTTCTTCTTCTTCTTCTTCTTCTTCTTCTTCTTCTTCTTCTTCTTCTTCTTCTTCTTCTGCTTCTGCTTCTGCTTCTGCTTCTGCTTCTGCTTCTGCTTCTGCTTCTGCTTCTGCTTCTGCTTCTTCTGCTTCTTCTGCTTCTTCTGCTTCTTCTGCTTCCTGCTTCCTGCTTCCTTCTTTTTCCTGCTTCCTTCTTTCTTCTTCTTCTTCTTCTTCTTCTTCTTCTTCTTCTTCTTCTTCTTCTTCTTCTTCTTCTTCTTTCTTCTTTCTTCTTTCTTCTTTCTTCTTTCTTCTTTCTTCTTTCTTCTTTCTTCTTCTTACTAAGTTTCCCAGGCTGGGCTCAAATTTGTGGTTCTCCTGCCTCAGCCTCCAAGAGTGTTTGGATTACAGGCATGCGCCAGCAAATCCAGCTGCAAAGTATGTTCTTTAACCAATCACTGTGAATAGAGAGGTGAGAAATCTAAAAAGATCTTGGCAGCCAGTTGGGACCATGTAATCAAACAAGGGGAAAGAGCATTTCTGATAAATGAGGTTCAGGGTTCTGGGCAGATTAAATGATAGTTTTATTTTTACTACACCTACCTTATAGTCAGCCCTGCTAATGCATTACTCACTGCCCAATTCCCATCGTTCCTCCTCTACTCAGAACTCTTCAGTGGCTTCCCATTGTCATGCGAAAAGTATAGATCAGAAACTCAGATACTTCCCCCCTGGCAATGGGCAAAGAGACACCTCATTGGTGGTCGTATTCTTACATCAGTCAGGGGCAGAGTAGATAAGTCTTTTGTTCATCCTAGCTTGATGCCTGGTTGGTGGCCAGAACTGTTTCATGCCTAGGACACGCACACGCACACGCGCGAGCGCGCACACACACACACACCTCAAATACTACAGGGGCCAGAAAGCAGGTTAGGAGTGAGACAACAGAGGAGTTGCTGGCACTGTACTGAGCTAGGGACTGCATGCCACATAGATAGGGGACGGCTAGCCATCTGTTGCTAAGACCCAGGTGCTGAGATACCGGATTTTTCAAGAGAATCCCCCAATCTGGATTTGCATGTAAAATTATAGAAATTTTAAATGCTGCCTCAAATATTTTAAAATAACTGTGTAAGCCAAATAAATTGTGTCCTAAGGACAATTATTATAAGCTGTGGCCTGAAAATTTGTGATCTTTGGCCTTTTAGGGTAAAGCCTATAATTAGACACCTTTGGGGTCTGTTTTAATTTTCTTTTGCTGTATAACCATCTCAAAATTCAGTGGTTTACAACAATTTGTGACATCTCATAGCTTTATGGATTGACTAGGTGGTTCTTCTGCCCCATGTACAGTTTGCTGAGGAGAGCTTCCTCCTATGCCCACCCCTCATGTTCCAATATTTCTTTTTTAAGATCAGGTACCAGTGGTATCTCCTTGAAACTTGCCTTCACTTCCTTCCTGTACACATGACCACTGGCTAAGTCTGCATGAGAGGTTTTGCCCTCCTAGCTTGGTCACCTTTTATTAGTGACCACCTGAGCATACACATCCAGTTCTAGGAGCGAGGCCCATCTGATCCATCTCTGTAGCCTTCCCACGCAGTCACACAGGGAGCTCCCACAAGCACTACCAGGGTGGATTGAACTGAACCCAACCTTGAAGGTAGAGTCCAACATGCCCATTTTATAGGTGGACAAATGAGGCTGCAGAGGATATTTGTACACTGTGTACACCGAGAACTGCCTATCAAAAGTGTTGCAGGGCAAGAGCTCTGGCAATTTGACTCATTAGAGTGCTGGTTAAACTCTATGCTTAATCCTTATCAATGTGAATGTCTGGGACTTGCATAGAAGACATTTCTCATTTCAGATGCATCTATTAGCAAGTCTTAGCCAGGAGCCTGGACCTCCTCAGCATTCAGGAATTGATGTGCTGGAGCCAGAAATCCAATAAACAAGCTTCAGTTCAAACTCTAACCTTGCCACTTACAGGATAAGCTCCTCTCTCTGTGACCCCAATTTCTTCTCTGTAAAGTGGGCATAAATTACATTTACCTTAAAAGTTATGTGAAGACTAGAAATAGTGTGTGTAGTATCGCCCAATACACAGTAAGTGCTCAGAAAATAAGAGTTCTTACCATGTTTGTTATTGATGCAAAAAAAAAAAAAAAAACAGTTCTGACTTTTCAGAAGGGAAAAAAATCATTCCTGAGGCTCATTACTTGGAAAACATAAACCCATGTTTTTGTTTTTTGGTTTGTTTGTTTTTATTTTGGTGGAACTGGGGATTGAACTCAGGCCCTTGCACTTGCCAGGCAAGTGCTTACTTAACTGAGCTATCTCCCTGGCCCTATGTTTTTTTCTTAAACAAGTTCTGTTACCAAAAAAGAAAAAAGAAAGAAAGAAAAGGAGGGAAGTAAGGAAGGAAGCAAGGGAGAGAGCGTGGCAGGCTGTGACTGTCTCTAGCGCTCCCTGAGCCTTGTTCAGCCACCCTCACCCCCAGTCACTGGTCCCTCCCTCTGCCATGCTGAGCTTCAGCAATGCACACATCTGTCCATAGTAGACCCGCATCTCACCTGGAAGGGAAGGAAGTGCATGTGGCAGAAGCAGGGAACCCTCAGGACAATGACAGAGAGCAGCCTAGAGTGTACAGTTCCCACACGTGTGACTGCCAGCTGGGGCTTCACAGTTAGGGGAGAAGCTCTCCTAAGTTAAGCATGGGCTGTCTCATTCCTTGCTCAATCCACAGAGCCGTGGCTCTGCCCTCTGCCTTCCCACTGGGTCTCCACATTAGCTTTTTTATCAAGCAAACAAAAAAACCCAGGCTGTGACATCTTTAGAGTCTTCATTGAGCAGGAAGCAAATGATTCCACACCTTCCCTCCCAGAGCCTCCCTCACCAGGGCCTTGAAGCCTCCTAACAAGAGGGTGCACCACCTCCCACTTCCCAGTGACCTTCTGCCCCCCATTGCATCCATGAGTGGCACTGCCGAGACCAAAAGCATCAGCGTTAATTGAAATTGACATTAAGGGCTGACTTGCTCAAGCAGAAGCACATTAGAAGAAATATAAACGAGGAAGGCATTGCATCTGTGGCATTTGTTTTAATGAGGAAAATCATTTCTGAAGCATCTTATTCAAAAAGGATTGAGTGCCCAAGAAATGCAAACATGTAGCCCTCTGCCCACACTCTGCTCCCAGGGATCAGAAGAGCCACCCCCTATGTCCACAGACTTCCCCATCAGCCTCGCTTTGGCCTGGTTTCTCAAGTACATCTCCGAAGGTGTCACCCATCACACTCCCATTCATTTTCCCCACCTGCTACTCCAGATCCACATTTCCATATTGGTTTAAGAATTCGTGGGCAAAAAAATAAATAAATAAATAAAAAATTAAAAAAAAATGTGTGGGCAGATCTTGGTCCTGGTTGTTCTAATTAGCTGTCCTCCAGAAATATTTGACTGGGTAGGTACCTGAAAACTTCTCAGTTTTAAATTTACTTGGCGGGGGGAGGGGGGTGTTGGGGAGATGGCCCAGTGGAAATAAACGCTTGCCTGGCAAGTGCAAGGGCCTGAATTCAATCCCCGGTTCCACGAAAAAATAAAAATAAAAAAATAATAAATTTACTTAGTGATGGTTCTTGGGGAGAGTTCAGAGTGCAGAGAGTGCCCAACAAATTTCACCCTGTGGTGAAGCACGTTGTCCCTTTCTCTCACCTTAGGTCAGACACCATGAGCACAATAGTGGTTGGTTGGTATTTTGGTGGCCAAGGAAGGAACCACATGTGCTCCCAGGCAGTCACACTCTTCAGCGGCCTCCTGCATGTGGTCTTGGAGCTTGGCCACGTGAGACATCCTCTGCAAGAAAAGGCCTGCACACCAGGGCTCATCCTCTTGGAGTACTCATTCCTGAGACCCACGAACAACTAAGTAGGAAGTCCAGCTGCCCAACTGGAGACAGCGCACAAGGACGAGGCCCAAAACTACTGCGGGAGAATCGGAAGCCAGTGTCCCTGCTGAGTGCCACCATGACTGATCAGCAGCGGGGTCAGTGGAGAAACCACCCACTTGAGCCCGGTCCAGCCTGAACATTATGAGCTACTCAAATGGCTACTATCTGAAAGCACTAAGTTCTGGGGCATAACAAGAACAGCAATCCTGTCCCGTGGTGTTTCCTAGCCACACGGAATTCTCACAGCCTTTTTAGCCCTTAGAGTGGATTTTTTTAAAACTCCATTACTCTACTTTTAGTTTTGCACACTGCCGCGCAGTTGTTCACAATTGTGTTGTCATTGCCTAGTTGTAATTCACATGTGTAACTTTTTGTTTTCTTTGTTTGCAATTGAGAGTGGGGATTGTTGTTACTCCCATTTTTATAAGCAGGGAAGCTAGGAGCCCAGAGTGGAAAGGAATTAATACCCACTAAGCACTTGCTATGCTGAGTGTTGTGGTGCACACCTATAATCCCAGAACTCTGGGAAGCTGAGGCAGGAGGATCACAAATTCCAACTCAGCCTGGGTGATTTAGCAACTTACAAGATCCTGTCTCTGAAAAATAAAAGTGTAGAGCCGCATGCAGTTTAGTACAAGGACCCTGGGTTCAATTCCCAGTGTTGCCATTCTCAAAAAGCACCTACTGTGGGCCAGATATACCATAGCCACGTTACGGCAGCCTGTAACAGGGAGAGGCCCAAAGCCTTCAGTGGCTCTGCCTCTGACAGCTGTGTATCCCTGGGTAGTCCTTGGGCTCTCCCAGCCTCAGTTTACACACCTCCAATGGAAAGCATGTTTTAGTCTTTCAAGGCTTTAACACAGATTAAATTGGAACATTCATATGTGGCAGATACTTTAAATTGGCTACCTCTCAGTGGTTACACAGCGTCCCTCCCCATGGAGACTGGGTGGATTTCCAGTGCTCTCTAGAAGATAAGCTTGACCACATGACAACGTTCTGTCTAGCGATATATAAGTGGAAGTTGCTTGGTATTCTCAGAAAAGGTTTGTTCGTTTAAGTGACAAACTTAACCAGTATTGCTTAGCCTTTACACTTTCTTCCCCTACTCTCCGTTCTTTCCCGCTCCTCATGTTCTACCTGGAAAACATGTGTGATACACAGAGCCACAGCAGCCATCTTGAAACCTTGAAGTTGAAAATTCACTTGATAAGGATACAAAGGAGAAATAAAGAGCCTAAGCTTTTCCAGACTTCTTGCTACATAAGATAAATAAAGCCTCCTGCGTTTGTACTCCCTTTACTCTTGCTTTTTGCTTCTTGCTGCCAAGCACATTTCTAAGTCAGACAGCATATCTGGTTCTATGTAAGACTCAATAAATATTAGCTATTGTTGCTTTGCCTGAGTTGCCTTTTGTACTTGTAAACACCCACCTATTCTGTGCATATTACTACGCTCAGTTTAGGAGTAAGAAAAGTCAGACTTCTTCCCAGGGTGGATGGGTGGTCATAGGAACAAGCATCACTCCAAGCTGGTGCCATTCTAACTGTTTTCATACATTAATTTGCTTAACATGACAATCCATGAGGAAAGTGCTATTATCATTCCCTTTTAGATGAGGAAACAGGTCAGGTTAAGTTGTCCAAGGTCATACATACAACTAAGGAGCAGCAGATTTGGGATTCAAATTCAGCAGCCTTAAGACAGTGTAAGGGTGTGTGTGTGTGTGTGTGTGTGTGTGTGTGTGTGTTATAAATAAGACTGCAGCCAGGTACAGTGGTGTGTGCCCTCAGAAGTCTACAGAAGAGGAGCACAAGTTCAAGGCCAGCCTGAGTAATTTAGTAAGACTCTTGACTCAAAATACATGGAAAGGGCTGAGAATGTAGCTCACTGGTAGAACTTGTGCTTAGAGTGTAT